AGGTTGGAGACTGGGCAATAACTGGCCAACTCATCTGGGTCCAGGGAAGGCTTCTTGAGGAGGGGCCTCACAACGGCCTCCTTAAGGGCCGCAGGAAAGACACCCTCCTGCAAAGAAGCGTTAACAATTCCCTGGAGCCAGGCTCGTGTACCCTCCCGAGCTGCCAGTACCAGCCAGGAGGGGCACGGATCCAACAAACGTGGTTGCATTCAGCCCTCCCAAGACCCTGTCCACATCCTCGGGAGCAACAGAGTCAAACAGAGTCCGGAAGCTGAGATTAGAAAAAAAGATCCCTAGAATCAACAATCCCTCATACCAAAAAATCCCACAGTCATCAGCCACAGCCCCAGGGAAGCAGGATATTACCTTTGGGACATAATAGGTTTAACCCACCACCATCAGAATATCAGAAAGGCAGACTCAGGTCAAAGTTCATGCCACAGGAACAACTCCAAACAAAAGCCCAAGAAGGTATAAAAAACCATTCCCTACTACAATTTTTCCAGAGCCATCTTTCTGTCTGGCTCTCCTCTTCAATAAACTACAACCTTCTTTCTAAAGCAGTCTCCAGGTTGATTATTCCCAGCTTGGACTGGACCCTGATGAAGATTTTTCTTTCAACAATATGTAGACCAAGCAAATATGGTCTTTTCCTTGTCTATGGAGATTTTCAGTCATCCAGGTCATGGTTGTCCCATAGGTGCCTTTTCAAGAGGCAACTGGACTTCCTTGTTTTTCTTTGAAGACGTTTTGCTTCTCATCCAAGAAGCTTCTCTACTGGATGGTGGGGAATCAAAGGATTTATATTCCTTGCAGACAACTGACCATTTGCATTCTTTTAGAGAGTTGTTGGGGCCACTTGGTTTATCTGTGTCCTCAAGGTCACCTGAGTGGTGCAAATGGATGTGGAGTCTTCTTGGAACTGCTGAAAGGACTGTACTGTGAACTGGAGATAAATTATGTTGTATCTGTCCCTCTCTGTTGAGAGAGAGCTGTTCAATTTTGACATAGATGGCCTCTTTGACCCTTCTTTCAAACCAGCTCTGTCCAAAGTGTGGACTTGGCTGTCTTCAAAAGAATGGCCTTTGTCTTTTAAATGTAGATGGACTGCTGAATCTTGTCCTGATGAGTTTGTTCTCCTATATTGTACCATGCATTTATGAAGTGGTTGTTTTGTTTCCCCAATTTACAGATCTGCACATGTCTTATTTCATTGCTCAGTTTGTGTCTGGGTGTTTTAACCTTGGGGTGGACAAGCTTCTGCCTTAATGTATTCTTGGGTTTAAATTGTGCATGTATGTTGTGTTGGTTGAAGATCCTCCTGAGCTTTTTAGATATTCCTGCAATGACATTCCATTCCTGCAATGGAATGACAACATTGTTTCATTTATTGTTTTCTTCTATTATGGAGGAGCTCTTGCTGGGATTTTTTTTGGATTTGATGAAGGCCCAGTTGGGATAGCCACATGTTCTGAGGGGTTCCTTGAGTGTTTTAATTCTTTTTCTTATGTTTGCTGGCTGGCAGGCCTGCAGCTTGGTGGTGTAGAGTTCTGATAACTCCCATTTTGTGTTCCAGTGGATGGTGAGAATCAAAATGTAAATATTGATCTCTGTGTGGGGGTTTTCTGTAAACTTTAATGTTAAGGCTTCTGACAATACCCCTTAATGGGTATTGCAGAGTCCAAGAAGTCTAGACTATTTTCTTTAACATCTTTCCGTGTGAATTTGATGTATCTGTTCAGAGTTGATATGTTGATATGACTTGGATGACTGAGAATCTCCATAGAAACTTGCAGGCAAATGATGTTTCTTGCAGATCTTCCAGTGCACCATTATTACTACTTTGTGATGTCATTTCTTGTAGTCAGTTGGTGCAATCTTCTTGCAGCAGCAAACTAAGAAGTCCACTGTTTCTTAAGCTCCTTCGCAGGAATGGCTTTTGCAGTCAATTCTGGCTTTATAGTATATGCGTTCATATTAATATATAGAAATGTGTGAAATTACAGCTGCCAGTTCTTTAGCTGGTATTGGATTTCATATGTATCAAGTTCTACCAAAGAATCTAGGATTTCAAAATAGTATATGTGTGGATCTCACATGGCCTTTTGAATTGAAATTTTGAATGATGGCCTCTTGAATTGAAATTTTGTAAGTCAGTTGATGTATTTTCTAAATGCTTTTTTTTGGTATGACATCCATTATGCCAATAATCACTGAGATCACCACAGTTGATTTATGCTGTAGTTTTTAATGTCAATTTCCAGATCTTGACAGTTTGTTTTCTCCAGTTCTTTGTCTTCTATTCTACTGTACCCTGCTATTGCAACATTAGTTGTCCACTTTTTTCTTCTTTTCAACTACCATTAAAATCTGGTGTGTTAGGAGCTAGTTTGTGTCCAGAAATCCCATAATATTTCAACTTGCTCATTTTGAGTATCTTTTCAACTTTGTGTTCCCACTGATCTTTTATTACTGACACATAATAATTTTTATAAAAATTATAAAAAAATCCCAGTGAATCATTTTGGTGACTGTGTTATATTATTATTTATAATCAATTTGTTATCTAACATATATGGGCCAGATATTGGTGGCTTTAATTAGGTTTTCACAATTCAATTTTGTCTTAACCACTTTCCTTACTTCTTAGATGTATTCTTTACTAAACACATTTTTAACTTGTTCATGCTTAATGTTATCCTACCATAAAATGCTCAGATACTTGTAGACTTTATCCGGTTTGCTCCTAATGATTTGGCCATTCAGTATTTCAGTTCATCACAATTCATGATTTTACCCTGATTTATTGCTATTGTAGCGCATTTCTTTAGGCCATGGGTATCCAACCTTTTGGTTTGCCTGGGCTGCACTGAGTGAAGAGGAATTGTCTTGGGTCGCATATATATATATATATATATATANATAATATAATATAATATAATATAATATAATATAATATAATATAATATAATATAGTTAATGTATATAAATAATACACTTCTTTTGTTTTTTAAATATTTTTTATTATCTCTTGTGGTCCACATTACTAGCTATGCAGGGCCAACACACCTGCTCGAGGCAAAAATCCATTGCTATATCTATTGCTAAAAATTCTTATAATATTGTCGATGACTGGATATCAATTTCTGATTTTCTATAAAGCGTTAGATCATCCATATAAAGCAAACATGAAATTTTATTAACAATTTTTGCGGCTTGGTAACCAAAGATTTGATTTCTTCAAAATCACTGAAAAGGATCATAGCAATGACAAATAAGGGTAATAATGAATCTTTCTGGAAGATGTCTTTCTTAATGTTGTCAATCCCATATTTTTATTTCCAACCATCAATTCTGTCTTTTAAGTTTCAGTATTTTTTTAAAATTTTTACTGAGACCGAT